AGCTTGGAATAACATAACCAGGACCAACGAGAGAACCAATTAGGAGAGAACTTACGAAATTGCTTCTTAGTGGAACCATATTCACAAGATGGAAAGTTGAACGTAGAAGAAGGACGCCAATGATTTTTTATAATGTCAAACTTAGTGTCATCGTCAATTTCCTGTTGATTACCAACAAAATTTCCAACGTCAAGTGGATCAATGTCAGAGGCATCCAATTTCAATTTTTTTGCAATCTCCATATCCTTGTTTGCAACTTTCCGTTTTAATAACTTTGAAACCACTCAACATTTGTAGCTACCAATGGCAGAACGTTTATTAACCTATGCTAATTTATGCGTGTAGAACACTATTTAAGCTGCTCAGCAAATATGTATTTGTAAAAAATAATAATCGCAAAGAGTGCGGTTAACTTGTAGAGGAGATAAGTTGGTTAAATATAGAAACCTGGGAGTTATTGGATTGAAAGACTGAGAAACGATATAGTCGGTATGTTGGTATATGTTATCTAAATTTTCTAAATTTCTATATTTATCTAAATTTTATAACTAGCTATACTGTAATTATGTTTGTAATGTACTTATGTTTATTATAAGAAAACCTCGTTCGTTTGAGACGTGAGTTTGGCTATATAGTTTAAAGAATTGAAAAAATCGGAGGATGTCCGATACAGTTTTCAACTTCATCGAACTTAGAAGCGATTTTTGTGGTGAGCGAACGTTTATGAACGAGATAGGATGTTTATCAAGTTGAGCTGTTATTGAAGTGCGACGTGGCACTGAATAAATTATGTTGACTTCGAAATCGTCGGTAAGAAGTAATTTTGGAGAGAAGCTACCAGACGCGTTTCCAGAAGAATATTTACAATATCAAGATGCGGACTCGAGAGCTAGAGCACGAAGCAGGAGAATTTATGATGAAGGCTATATACAAGAACGAACACGCCAACTTTCAAAAAGTCGCTCGGGGCACATTAGTTTGTTAACAAGGATTTATAATGAGATTCGTGAGTTAATTACGAACGAGAAAGGAAACGTGGGCGATATATCCTCAAAATATGAAGCTTTTCGTGAGGCGTGGTATAGATTTATAGATGCGCACGAGAAATATTTCGCTTTATTGGAAAGGGAAAGTGATAGAAAAGCCGCTAATGTTAGTTATGAAGAACAGAGAATGAGAAAGTTGGAACTTGATGCCATGGTAAACGAGTGGCGTGATATGGTTGAAATGGCACGGCCCAGTGAATCCAAATCTGGAAGTAAGGGATCAAGATCAAAGTCCAAAGGCAGTCAAGTAACAAAAGCAAGTTCAAATTCGTCGATAATATCAAAGAAAAAGGAAGAAATTGCGCTGGCGCAATTAAAACTGGAACAATTGAAAATACGTCAAGTATTCGAGGAAAAGGAACAAGAACTGAAACGAAAGAAAGAATTAGCCGAAGCTGAAATAGAAGTCGATCGGGCAGCTGTTTCCTTAGAAGTGTATCAACAAGCTGAGGAGCAGAAGGAGAATAGTTCTAAAGGGGAGATCCGTCAAGAACAATCGTTGACGTCTGCCTTGGCAAAAGACGAAGTACCTGTTCATCGTGCACCTACAAGAGTGGATGAACAGCCTCTAGGAAACGTCACTGGAACGAACCATCATGAAGCAGTATTTTCAGTCTCTATTTCTAGATTTAACAGTAGCCATAAAATTGTTGGTGGTTTGTCTGGCAGAAACTATCCTTTCACAAATGATTTACCTTCAACTGATGCATTACCAAGCAGAGACGTCTCATCTGGTCAGACACAAACGACTAGTACAACCTCTGAAGCATATTGTCCAATTCCATTTACACGGCAACCGTTTGTCCCGCAACCCGTCTCAAGATTTGGTTCATCTGCAATACCTACTGGTACTCTATATGAAGACCTGAATGTCTCGTTAGTTGAACCCGATGTTAGATATGTTCCTAGAAGCTTGGGTCCAACAGCAGCTAGAAATGCTGTGCCGCACCACAGAACATACAATTCCCAACCACCAATAGCGTATAATGCGACGTCAGCCACACCAAACACAAGTACTAGTGTAGATATGGTGCAAGCTTTAAGACAAATTGCTAACACGCCTAAATTGGAGTATCTTCATTTCGATGGCGATCCAATGAAGTACGGCGCATTCATACATAACTTTGAGAACTTTTTAGAACGAGATAATTCAGATGAATCAAGAAAGCTACAATTATTAATACAGCATTGTTCAGGAAAGGCAACAGAAGCAATCGAAAGTTGCGTGAGCTTATTTATCAAACGGAGATGGTTATAGAGTTGCGAAAGACACATTATATGAGAATTTCGGAAAGCCACATGTAATAGTGGAAACACACATAAAGAGATTGATGAATTTGCCGAGTTTGAAAATTGGAGATGGTCCTTCACTTTTACAGTTTGCGAGACATTTGGAAACAGCACAAAGAACTTTGACTGGTATGGGATCCGTCTATGTGGCTGATTAAGATCATATGCACGTATTAAGAGAAGTTGTCAAGAAACTTCCAATGTACCTCAGAGCCAAATGGACAGAACTCGCAGGAAACCTTTTCGAATCGGGACGAAGACCACGTTTTGAGCATTTCCTGAAATTTGTCAAGGAGAAGGCAAAGCTTGTGAATAATGAATTTGGAAAGGATATGAGTATTACTTACTCAAAGCCGAAGTTGAGTAGTAAAGATTTGGCAGGAAATATTGGGAAGTCGGACTCGAGATATACCTCATTTGCAGCAAGTGGAATGGAGGACTCAGTTTGTCAGATTTCACCCAATCGGAAATTAACTTGTGAAGTTTGCTCCGGACTGCATCGAATATGGAATTGTGATCGCTTTAAGAAGGCTGAATATAAAGTGAAGCGTAAAATCGTGTTACAAAATGGATTTTGTAACAAGTGCTTAGGGAAAGGTCACATTGCAAGAACTTGCCCCAAAACACATTTCAAATGTCAGGAAGTTGGATGTGATGAACCACACCACACCCTAATGCATCGTCCCAATAATGGAAAGGATCCTCCCTTGCAAAAGCAAGTAAAAACAATGAAGTCATCGCAAACCCGAACTGGGGCCGGCGATCAGCAGGAAACTCCTGATCGAGAAACTAATGCTAGCAGATCAGTTGCTGCAACCCATGCTGAAGGTAACAGAATTTGTTTAGGAACAATTCCAGTTAGAGTTCGAGGAATTGAAGGAACACAAGAAATACAAACGTACGCTTTGTTAGATAGCGGATCGGAAGTGACTCTGTGCGATGAGAGACTAGCTAAGAAATTAAATATAGACGGTGAAAATACGAAATTTACGCTAACAGGAATTAATGGTTCAGTTGAAGTGGAAAGTTAACTTGTCGATATTGATGTTACGTCTTTGGATGGATCAATGGCGGTAGAATTACTAAAGGTAAAAACTGTTAAAGAAATACCAATCTCGAAAGGCTGCGTTCCGAAACAAGTAGATGTAAACAAATGGCCACATCTCCGCGAAGTGTGTATTCCTGAATTAGAAGATGGAAATATCATGTTGTTAATCGGTCTGAAAGAAAGGCCTCGGTTGTTTCTCCCATTAGAATGTAAAGAAGGTCGTGAAGGCGAACCAATAGCAATACGCTACAGTCTTGGATGGACGGTTATGGGTCCTGTTGGTGGCGGCAGAGAAGATGATGGTCTTTCCGTAAATTTCACTCGGGCGTAAGATCAAGACTCCGTATCGTTACATCACAACTTCGCAGAATCGAGTGAGACAAAGGGATGTCGGAGGAAACGTGATTCTTTGAAGTTTGCAGACGAAGAAATATTTCAAGCCAGGATTGCAGGTTGTCAAATTTATGACGAAGTTAAAGATCGGACTAAGGTGAATGATGAAATCTTGACACATCAGTTAGAGCGTTTGTGGAACACTGATTTTAAGGATATAAAGGTGAGCGATAAAGTGTTGGCTTCAGTAGAAGATGAAAAAGCATTGCACGTAATGGAAGAAAGCGTAAAGATGGTAGATGGCCATTTTCAGGTTGCACTACAGGTTGGTGGTGTCGAGAACCCCCGGTTATTTCAAATAACAAGGTAATGGCAGAAAAAAGACTTCGTTCTTTGAATAATCGATTAGTGAAAGATACTGAATTGTTTAAGAAATATACGAATGCTATGCAGGATTATATCAATAAAGGACATGCTCAGAAAGTACCTAAAGAAGAATTGGACAAAGACAACGGAAGAATCTGGTATCTCCCACATCATCCTTGTCACTCATCGATTGAAACCAGATAAAACGAGAATCGTGTTTGACTGCGCAGCGAAGTTCAAAGGTGAATCCCTCAACCAGCATTTGTTGACTGGACCCGATTTAACTAATTCTTTAATCGGAGTCATAATTCGGTTTCGCCAAGAACTGATCGCAATTGTCGCTGATATTGAATTAATGTTCTATCAAGTATTGGTTGAACCCAAAGATTGTGATGCATTTAGATTCTTGTGGTGGGAAACTAATAATCTTAACGACACTCCTACAGAATATAGAATGGTGAAACACGTATTTGGCGCTACATCTTCGCCAAGTGTTGCTAATTTTTGTGTAAAGAAGACTGCATCCTGCTTCGGTGGAGAGTTTGAGAAGGAAGTCGCGGAAACAGTGAACAAAAATATGTACGTCGACGATCTGATGAAATCTGTGGATACACCAGAGAAAGCTATGAAGCTGTCAGAAAATCTTCAGATTAACAAAATGGCTTAGCAATGATCGGAAGGTGTTAGAAGAAATTCCCGAAAATGAAAGAGCAAAATCTGTTGTCAATTTGGAGATTGATAATTTACCTACAGAATGTGCTCTTGGAGTGAAGTGGAATGTCGAGACTGACAACTTCATATGGGAAGTTCGTGAGGAGACTATGGCATTGGCTAAACGAAAGTTACCTACGAGACGAGGAATGCTGTCTGTAATATATTCACTTTTCGACCCGATAGGATTTATTACTCCATACATAATGAAAGCGAAGCTACTGTTACAAGAGTTGTGCCGGAAACGACGAGGATGGGATGACAAAATTGACGAACATGAAAGTCAGCAATGGTATTGTTGGTTGAATGATCTTCCTAAGTTAGAAGAGGTGAAGACAGGACGTTGCTTTAAGCCACAATATTTTGGTGAGATAAAGAGCACACACCTGCATATTTTCAGTGATGGCTCACGTGTGGGATACGGAGCTGTGGCTTACCTACGTCTAGAGAACAACAACGGACGTATTCATTGTTCATTCGTACTTGGCAAGGCTCGTCTTGCACCCATTCGTGAAATCGCTATTCCAAGGTTGGAACTGTCCGCAGCGGTTATGGCTGTACGACTCCATCAAACAATTGAAGAAGAGCTAGAGTATAAGATAGACGGCGTAACGTTCTGGACGGATTCCATCTCTGTTTTGAAATGTATCAAGAACGAAACAAAGCGATTCCATACATTCGAGTCTAATTGTTTGACTGCGATACGGAATGGATCTTCTATCTCTGAGTGGTGATACGTCAACGGTGAAAAGAATCCGGCCGATGACGCATCTAAAGGTTTGAAGTTGAACGAGATGTTAGCAAATAAACGATGGTTAGAAGGACCTGAGTTCTTGTGGAAGACCGAGCATTATTGGCCGACAATGATAGACGTACCACCTTTGGTAAATGAAGACCCTGAAGTTAGAAAGGAGATGAAAATTTATGTCACAACAACTAATGATGATTGCCTGCTGAAGTTACTGCAACGATATTCGTCTTGGTGGTGTTTGAAGCGATCGGTTGCCTGGCTCTCTCGATACAAGCAGTTCTTAAAGATGAAAGTGCACCAAAGAAAGGACGGTGTTGATATAATGAAAATGAAACCTGGCTATTTACGACTTAAAGAGTTGAAACAAGCAGAGATAGACATTGTTCGTTATGTTCAGTCTATGTCATTTCCCGAGCTGGTGAATTTAGAAGCCACTTATCATCTTTCAGATAAAAGGTCTAAGAAGAAGAGTTTAAAGAATATCAAGACGTCGTTATACAAGTTAAATCCGTTGGTAAAAGACGGCTTATTGGTTGTAGGAGGACAACTCAAGAAAGCACAGATTAATGAAGAGTCAAAACACCCGATAATCCTTCCGTATAAGCATCACGTGACAAACCTTATAATTCAGCAATACCATCATATGGTTGGTCATATGGGTCAGGAATCTGTGCTAGCGTCATTAAGAGAAAGATTTTGGTTCATAAAGGGACGATCGGCAGTTCGCCAAGCTATTCGAAGATGTATTGACTGTCAGAAGAGAAAGAAACCACCAAGTGAACAATTTATGGCGGATCTGCCTCGAGATAGATACGAACAACGTTCGTTGGAATTGACTATTTTGGGCCATTGGAGGTGAAACAGGGAAGAAGTCGAGTAAAAAGATATGGTTGCATTTTTACCTGTTTGAATGTCCGAGCAGTACATATCAAGATCGTTCATTCATTGAACACAGATGCAATGATTAACGCATTAAGAAGATTTATTAGTTTACGAGGATACCCTAAAGAAATCAGAAGTGATTGTGGTACAAATTTCATTAACGCAGATAAGGAGTTGAAAGCTAGCATCGAAGAATGGAATCAACAGAAGATTAGATCTTTCTGTAATCAAAAAGGAATAGAATGGACATTTAATCCACCAAGTGCGAGTCATATGGGGGGCGCATGGGAGCGGTTGATAAGAATTGTACGTCAGATTCTTCGAGCGCTGCTGAAAGAACAAATAATTGGAGACGAAGTCCTGTTAACCGTCGTGGCTGAAGCAACAAACATTCTAGACAGTCGACCACTAACGCGAAATGGTGATGATCCACGAGATGAAGTACCACTAACCCCAAACCATCTGTTACATTTACGCCCGTATTCTACAGGTATATTGCCTCCTGGAGTGTTCACCGAGCATGACCATTACAAACGTAGATGGAAACAAGCACAATATTTAGCTAATCTTTTTTGGAAAAGATGGATAAAGGAGTATCTTCCTAATCTCCAAATTCGACAGAGGTGGACAGAAAGAAAGGAAAACTTAAAGGTTGGAGATCTCGTACTTCTCATGGATAAGAATTACAGAAGAGGACAGTGGCCGCTTGCACGTGTTGTTGAAGTGTTCCCAAGTGAAGATGGTTTAGTTCGTAGTGTTAATCTCAAGACAAGTTCAACAGTGGTCACTCGAGCCAGACGAACCCGACGTGGAGAAATAAAAACAACAACGACCTACCTTACTCGCCCAATAACAAAACTATGTCGTCTGGAAATGGACACTGAAGATAAGTGCAATTCATGATGAATGAAATATATAAAACATTGATAGCTTTAGTTATATTGTAGTAAATGACACTTCCTCAAAGTAGTCATTTAGGGGCCGGTGTAGCTACCAATGGCAAAACATTTATTAACCTATGCTAATCTATGCGTGTAGAACACTATTTAAGCTGCTCAGCAAATATGTATTTGTAAAAAATAATAATCGCGAAGAGTGCGGTTAACTTGTAGAGGAGATAAGTTGGTTAAATATAGAAACCTGGGAGTTATTGGATTGAAAGACTGAGAAACGATATAGTCGGTATGTTTGTATATGTTTGTTCAAGTATTTATCTAAATTTTATAACTAGCTATACTGTAATTATGTTTGTAATGTACTTATGTTTATTATTAGAAAACCTTGTTCGTTTGAGACGTGAGTTTGGCTATATAGTTTAAAGAATTGAAAAAATCGGAGGATGTCCGATACAACATTTTTATTGGTAAACATTATACATTGATATACAGCTAGTACTTTTGTAACTACTAACTAGTAAGCTGTATGATCTTGGCAACAATGTGCATGCACCTGTTTAACCTGGTACACTAGCTAAATTTAACCAATATGATTTAACAAAACTGAAACAAAATTCTATAACTTCTAATTAGTTCCTGAAACAGAATAGATAATAAGTTTTAAATACCACTTGACAATTTCTTGGCATCTACTCCTGCTGCTGTCAGAAGATCTTCAGAGTTGTTTCCCTTATCTAAAAAAAGAAATTGACATAAATTACAATGAAGTTGCTGAAAAATCTTAAAATAAAAAATAGTTTGATGTGTAATTGGTCTTACCACTGTTTTGAGGCTTTTCATTCTTTGTTGTAGCATCTTTTACAAGATTATCAGGATTGTCTATAATAGGAAGAGAAAACTATTAATATAATTCAAGAAATGTACAATGAGCAACTGAAATATAAATGACATGTATGATTAACTTTGCACCACTATAATATTTATCGCTTCCCTTCATATCTAAAAGATACCTTGTCATGACGAGCTCTGTTTTCTGTGTTCTAGATCTCGTACAAAAACAACTCAGACACAGAGTTGGAATAATTTTGGCAATGTTTATACATTTACAAAACAAGCACCTAAATATCTAAAATTATATTAATCAAAGGGAATACCTTCAGAAATATTTCCCTTGCTCTTTAGGACATCAGTGATCTTCAGCTGCTGTCTAACTTTTTGTGGTTGTTCACACTTTGACTCTGTCACATGACTTTCTTTATGTTTGAATTCCAACAAAGGGACAAAGTGTGATTAGGTTGAAAGATGTTTGAATCCATACCAGGAAGGGTAGTGATAGTACCAAGACTTGACCATAAGAAAACAAGAGAATGTTGCATGACCTTGTTTGAAAATTTAGTATCGGCTGCTCTTGGAGAAATGATGCCATTCATGAACTGAGAATACTTGGTTTTCTCAGCTATTTTCTCTGGGTAAACAGTTCTTATATTCATCCCAGTCACTGAAGACAAGGCCAACATGCATAAAAGAGAAGAAAATTTTCCACTAACAGTTGTTCTCAAAGCCTCTTGCTGAACGACTGTAGTTCTTGTGGATGGATTTTTCCTGTCATAACCTTCAGCTAATGCTTCATCAGAGACAGCTGCAGAGAATGCAGTATTGTCACAATGGAAGAGATGTGACTTTTCTTTAATAAAAGGATGAAATGCATAAAACTGCTGATTATTGAACAATTCAATGCTTGTCAACATTCGCAACACATGCCATAGTTGGTCTTTACCACACAACATTTTGGAGCATGCTCAGTATAAGCAATTTCCATCTCCCAGGGTTCTGAGGCTGATATTCATATATTCGTGTTCGCAGATCGTAAAAACAATCGATTTCAAAAGGAGTTAATAATGCAGAACATGAATATATGAATATCTGCCCCCGTTATTATCGATATTCCGGTTATTGCCCCCGTTATTATCCAAATTCCACAAGAATACAATAGACTTCCTGTGGGGAAACACGGTTAGAGGACTCGGGACTGTTGCTAAATCGTGCTTCACTGGCGCAAATTATTCCCCCCTGGCGCTGCATAGACACTAAATATTCCCCACTGCATATCTAATTGCATATATTTTACTTGAAAACATGTCAAATTTAAAGCGTGACAAAAATATCGGCTATGCGATAAAAAACCGTCAAATTGTCAAATTCTGCTGCTACCTTCGTCTCCTTTCGATCCTGGACAATTCTCAACTCACTTTTTAAGTTTTTAAACTTGTGTGTTGTTTCAAAGTTTAATTGAGTGATTAAGCTACGAAAGTGGGTATTATGAAACATTTCGCATATTATTAGAAAATTTTGACCGATGCTTTAGCATCGGTAGCATCAGTCTGGATCCGCCCCTGGTATAAAGACTATCTCCACCCAGTAGAATAGTATCCAATACTGATGAGTTCCACCTATCAATACCCTGTATGACTGTAAACTAGATGAAATAACATTAACATAGTCTTTCAAAAGTTAGTTTTACTGTCTACCCATTTCCGTTTGCATGAGACAGTTGACATGAAAGCATACTCTTCTTGCTCTATTTTGGCTCAATTGTTATTCCTATATTATGACAGTTTGGAACAGTTAAATTGCACTTTTAGATGTTAGCAGCAGATTGACTTTGAGTGTGATATTTGGGATGTTCAGTAGTTATTTTTTAAATTTCTTATTTACAACTTCAGCTGATATTTCTAGATATTTCAGAGAGATATATTTAATAATAACTCACTCACATATTTCATAACGATTCACTCAGATATTTTACAATAATTCACTTAGATATTACACAATAATTCACTTAAATATTTCATGAGATTAGTGAGATATTATATAGAGGATATTATTGTCATATTTGCAGACAAACCTGGTCTTGAATCCGATAAATGACAAGTTGATGTGCTGATTGTCTCGTCGATCGAAACAGACTGATGACTTTTAACTGACTTACTAGCAGTTTGGACGGCCGTCGCACCTGATAGTACAACAAAAATTTGTTGTTGTTTCTTGTCTGACAAAGTTGAGTAATTATTTATGGAGGCAACGTTTTTATGTCCAGTTACTTGCATGATTTCGGTTGGCGGGTTGGTGGGATGTCGTTATCAACAATTTTTTGAACCAAATGTTTTTTTGTGCTGTGATTTACTAGCTTCTTGTCAGTTTCCAAGCCGGATTCTTCGACCATTCTCTTCAATATATTTCGCAGTGAATTTACACAGAGCGGAGTACATTTGTACCATTGTTGTCTTTCATTTTTCGGAACTTCAACATTTACAGCCAAGTAGAATGGAGACTCATCTGCCAACATCTCAGCTGGTCTATGAGCACAGTAGGCCAAGTAATTGTTGACCGGACAACGATCTGGATTACTCTTGTTTTTGTACATTTGAGGCTTTCTTGCTCTGCGGTTTCATTGGTTTTTGTAAGTATGTGTTTTTGTTTGTCTTTCTCGACAGAGCTCGACAAAGCAGGTTCCTTCCGAATCTTGTTTCAACTCCAAATCACCCCAACGAAGATCTCTTTGCTCTTTGCCTGGTCTCATACCAAAATGAATACAATTATTCAACCACACAATATTCAGCAAGGCTCTTGGTTCCCAAGACATTACGATCATAAAAGTTGTTCATGTCTTCATCTGACAGCGGGTCAGCAACATTTGGACGGTTCCCTTTGAGATTTTTTAACTGTTTTTGTTCCTTTTTAAGTGTGTCTTGGACATCGTAAAATGCTCTGTCTTTCAAAACAGATGAAGCGTAGTTATTTTTTCTTGGATAACGGTCAATGCTTTGTACAAATGCTCTGAGAGACAACGGCTCGTATTCTTTGCTGTTTTGCTTTCCTACAGACAAAATGAAATTTTTTATAATCCGTTGAAATTCTTTCGAGGGAAGGTCCTGTATCTCTGTCCTCAGAACTGTTGTAAACTGCAAGGAATTCCTTAAAAATACCGATATCATATGTCGTCTTTTTAGTTGTGTTTTCGTTTTCTTGTTCCTCGCAAAACTTGATTACTCTTGTTTTTGTACATTTGAGGCTTTTTTGTTCTGAGGTTTCGTGGGTTTTCGTAAGTGCGTGTTTTTGTTTGTCTTTCTCGACAGAGCACGACAAAGCGGGTTCCTTCCGAATCTTGTTTCAACTCCAAATCACCCCAACGAAGATCTCTTTGCTCTTTGCCTGGTCTCATACCAAAATGAATACTATTATTCAACCACACAGTATTCAGCAGGGCTCTCGGTGAGCTTGTTCCCAAGACATTACGATCATAAAAGTTGTTGATGTCTTCATCTGACAGCGGGTCAGCAACATTTGGACGGTTCCCTCGGCCGAGAGATTTTAACTGTTTTTGTTTCTTTTTAAGTGTGTCCTGGACATCGTAAAATGCTCTGTCTTTCAAAACAGATGGAGCGTAGTTCTTTTTTCTTAGATAACGGTCAATGCTTTGTACAAATGCTCTGAGAGATGATGGCTCGTATTCTTTACTGTTTTGCTTTCCTACAGACAAAATGAAATTCTTTATAATCGGTTGAAGTTCTTTGGGGGGAATGTCCTGTATCTCTCTGTCCTCAGAACTGTTGTAAACTGCAAGGAATTCCTTAAAAATAACGATATCATATGTCGTCTTTTTAGTTGTGTTTTCGTTTTCTTGTTCATCGCAAAACTTGATAATATCGTCCTCGCTTAAATTCACAAGCCTTGAACTTGAAGCCATTTGTAAAACAGCGAAAAAGGCAGGAAATGTTATGTCTATCCTTAGTGTGACATACGGAAAATACGTCACTCAAGTCTCCGATGTAGTGACGTATGAGCACTACAAGTGTTTTAGTTCCCAGTAAAATACCCCTGACCATATAATAATTCATGATAATTCACCCGCATATCTCACGACTCAGATATTTCACTCTGAAATCTGAAATTTAAAGAGACGAAAATATGAAGAATGGAGCAACAAGTGATCAAATAGAAGCAAAG